ATAATCACTCCAAAGGCGCATACATGTACATGTGTGCCCAACCATAACATGACAAGAGGGGTGTTTAGAAAAAAAAGGAAGGTTTTATTGTTGAAGGAAAACATCAAAAATTTGTAATTTCTTACTTGTTTTGACTTTCTGACTCAATAGGAACAAATATGTGCGTGGCCAATTTGAAATGTTTAAGACAGACTCAGCTTATCTTTACATGCACTAGTTCATGTACTCTGTATCAGTTGTTCTGCAGGACCGTGTAAAACTGTCGTAACACCACATGCATCGTATGATAAATGTATTTGGTGTTGATGTTGCCTTTTGTTAGGGGCGGGCCCTGGCCTGTGGATGAAGTGGGTGGAGATGAAGTGGATACAGTGCCTGGATAAACGCACAAATCTTTCATTTTGAAATAGAAATCTTGTGCCTCATTGACCTCAGTATCTGTAGAAAAAAGGAAAATTTCCTCGGACGAATTGATTTAATTAATGCTTCCTGAGCGTAAACTAACCCAGCCACCTCAGTGGTAATGTGTTTTTTACTTTTGACGACCAACTTTCAATGACCCAGTTTGAGAAGTGTTGAAAGCCATCCTGGGATTGACCCCCCTCCTCTACCTCATGAGATCTTGGCAGTGCTGAGTGATCGTCTAATCTAATCAGCTGGTGATTATATTCCTGATTACTCTATTTGTGGGGGTCCAGTTGGAAGGCTGTTGGTAATTGATTTAATGAGGACGCCGTTTCCCGCTGTCACTGCTAAATGCTGATTGTGATTGGTTACATTTGTTGGCAGTGTGATTTGAAACATGGGAAATTGGATGTGGTATTTGAGTACAGCTCCCTTACTCAGTCCCATCACTTGTAATTATGTAATCAGTGGATTGAACACATGAATGCAACATCCTGACTGACATGTACATGTATATTTGATGTATTTAGTTCTTGGATTCTGGAGTGTATAAAATTGGTTACATGTACTGGTCGTCTACAAACTTGAAAGGAGGTGCAGGGGCTGACTCATCAATACTTTCTTTACCGCAAGGCTTTCACCCTATGACACCACTTATGCATATGTATTATTCTCTGTTGTTGGATGGTACTAAGGGTGAAATTGAAATGGTACTACAAATTCATGTACAAATGTAAGTAACAGTAAGAAATGCAATGTGATAGTCACCTGATCAGTAGACTTTTGGAAGTGTTACATAAAAATGGCTTTTTTCTCTTTTCAAGAACTGATTTCTTGCTGTGATCCAGTTTTTGCTTGTAACATTTACAATGCAATAAAATCTTGAAGTTGATTTTCTGATGATGTAAAAGTGCTTTTGTGAGTCAGCTTCAGAATGTGTAAGTCTGAAACGATGATTAATGGTAATGATTATGATTATTTTATGGATGATCTGTAATGTTAGTAATTCAGCAATGGTGATTTTAACATTTTCCAAAATGGGCAGTTTTCTTTTATAGGTTCAGAAACTTGGTTTTGAGGTACTCATAAAGGTTGGTCAATACTTGTGCTGTTGTGCATGAGGAAAAAAGCATTTCATACATTTTCATGTTCTCAAGATTTGTCTTCAGCACTACATTTACATGTATGCCTGCGTGAGGTTCCAAACTTTTAACTATTATTTGTTTTTTATTAGATTTGTCATGGAAAGTGCCTGAGTGTCAGCCCAGTTTCCATTTGAGAAAATGAAGGTCATTCAGTCAAGACATACATGTATTGCTTACTGTCTTCATTTTCAAGCAGTACTGGCCCCTAGAGGGAGCCCTTGTCACGTGGCGCATGAAATGAGTTGGATAGGTAGGCACTGCGGGCACTGTCTTGTGTCTGCTTATCCCGGCTGTGGTGTCTCTGAGTACATTCCATCTCCCTGAACATATCAGTGACAAGCCACCCACAAAAAGGGGACATCCCATGAAAGGGGGTGGACAGGCCAGCACACCCTGCTACGCTGTGGTCTGCCTCCAGGGGTGGAACCAAGAGCTGCCTGAAGATAACTAGACACCTGTCGGATATCCTGTGTGCCTTAAAATACATCAGGGTTGTACAAGTTTGTCTATGGTGTTTCCTATCCTGGTCAAACCCCATGGTTGCTCTTTATTCTGTTCACATTTGCTACTAAGTTGATCCTGAGGGTAGTACATGTATCCCCTCTACTCTATCCCTGTATGGTAATAGTGTCAAAAGTTTGTCATCTGGATCATAAACTCATAAAAAGATTATACCGATCTGTGTTTACATCATTTTAAACAGTGCCGAGAGCTACCCAGGTCCAAAATGGGCTCCGTTTGACTTTAACTTTAAAATGAAGGTCAGAATGGCATGATTTTTAAAAATGCTGATGCTTTGCATCAGCGGTGCTTTTATACTGGAAGAAACTGTCAGCTCTTGGCTTGATGATAGCAGGAGGGCTGCGGAGAGGCAGCTGTTGCCGTGAAGGAATACGCATGTGGGCATAAACTGAGAGGAATGCCAAAATGGCAAAGAGCCAATCTGAATTCAGAGCGCATGTTATAATGAAGAGCATGCCAAGATCCCTCAGTTTCCGCCAGTCATCCCCCCCTCTTGGATTTGGGCCAGAGTTGTCAGGTCATTTAACATTGTGCACATTTGCATATGAGGTCGACAGCTCCTCAACAGTTCACATTAAATTGTAGAGTGTAGATGTGCCTTGTGTTAAGTACATGTTCTTCATTACATGTGAGCACAAACAGCAACTAGCAGCTGTTGCTGTACTCTGATCATGAATTGTGTCAGGATAGTCAACTACCAAGTGGCAGCCGTGACTTACCCAGGGGAGAGGAAGAACATGTGAGGCCACTTTCTTGTGGCTGAAGGCCACTGTGAATCCTCCATGTTCAGAATAGGGGATGCATTTATTGAAAACTGCAGTGTGATCAAATTTCAGCAAGAGAGGATCCCCTGTTGCCCCCTGCAAAATGAACCCTAGTTTAGCCGGTACCCTCTGTCTCCTCATCCAGGGTCACAGAAGCTCATTATCTGTGATTTTCATGGGAGTTACATGTAACCATGCTTGCGGGGCTCCATCTGCATGTAGACTTGACTTCAAGTTGACCGTTGGTCTGATTTTGTTTCTTTACCACGTCAGCTCCATTGCACCGATGATTGCATATACTTTCTGAGGTTTTCACGTTGTGCATTGTTGCATTTGGACTGTTCATAGTCATCTTAAACTCAAGTGCACAATTTTCAATTCTCCCTTACAAAGCCTATTGCACAGCCTGTAGAGATTAGCTGCCTATGGTCCTCTTTGTGCAACACAGTGTGTATCAGTTGTGCAGAACCTTCATTCAAAACTGCAAATGTTCCGACAACAGATTTTTCAGTGAAGTGAGGATGAGTTAAAACCCAGAGCATAGGAAGAACCTTACAACCTATCACCAGTACTACGTGAATGTATAGATCATCTATAAACAGAATGCAAACCAGTAGCGGCTTGAAATCAAGTCTAGGATCCAACCCCATCCAACCACCACCACCCTCCCTCCCCGCCCGCCCTCCATGCATACACGACGCATCGCAGCCCCAAGACACAATATGCACCTGAGAGTGAGTCAATCAGGACACCGCCCTGATGGCCCATGCTGGCTCATTTCCTCTGTTGCTGTTCATTGGCCCTAGCATTGTGCATCCTATGGGATATTTAGGGAGAGAGCATGTGTACCTGCATTTTAGTTGTAGTACCAGGCCAGATTTTTTTTTGGGGGGAGGGAAGGGTACACAGTAAGGGATGTAAGTGACAGTTTGGAAGGTGCTGCAATGAAATACCTTATGCTGATTACAATCTGGGTCTGTCTGATTGATGTGCACCTTGCTAAGCAAACAGGATCCTTCTTTCCAGTGCTGGAATAAGTTTTTGTTAATTTCAACAAAACCCCAAAGTGGAGCACTTGATTCCAACCCTCTGCAGATATGATTTACAAACAGTAAGTGGCTACCGGTGGTTGAAAGAGTCATCTGGAAGCTGCACGTGGTCAACCAGATCGGCAAAATTCACATTCATCTCTGCATTGTTGTCGTGATTCGTTAATTGCCCCAGTAGACAAGACACTCACTGAATTTGAACAAATGTCTCAGTGACCTTTGTGGACGTGTAACACAAAACACATGGTTTTGCCCTCTAAAGTGAACTTGTCAGCACTGATGCTAAACTTAGTAACAAATGAAAAGGAAAAGAAAGACTGAAAATGCATGTACGTGATCTTTTCTTTATATCCCTATAGTAGTCATGCCCCAGATGGCAAAAACTTTCATTGGCCTGGTGAAGACCAAAGGATCTGTTCAATTAAGCTGTGGCAGGAATAGAACAGGTGGCAATCAAAGTGAAACACAACGGTACATGTACCTGACACCGTGACGGGGATACCATTAATTGATTTTCTTGTCAAAGGGAAGTCCGTGTTAAGTCCTCTCCAAATTATGCCTGTGGGAAATGGGACATACATGTCCATGCGCATGTACATGTATGCATCTACATTTAAACTACATGTAATACGTATGGTTTGCGAATTCGATCCATTTCTGCACGTTGATATTCTAACGTTTAGAAAAAAAATTGAACAGATTCTTCATATGAAGTAACAGGGGCAAAACAGGTCGATGGGGCCGACAGGTTAGGAGTACAATTCACACTGAATACTTGCAGCATTCGAACAGAACTTTGCCTCCATTGTAGTCTACATCATAACGGTACAAGAGGAGCAGTTGTGACTGATGCCTTGCTAAAAGGCAGTGACTCCCTTCTCAGCTCAATTTGAAATACAAGCATGAGAAATATTCGTCAGTCTTTCCAGCTACCAGGTAGTTGGGTGTGGCAAAAATTGGTCACAAGTCACCATGGTAACTGGAGAGAGTTTGACCTGAAGATCCACTTCTCCCCATATGAACAGTGTCTCTATTTGAGGAAGCCTGTTATGCTTACCGAAAGATTGTTGTGGGGGGAGAGCTTCATATGCATTCTCCCCTCTCCTTCCCTCCAGGGAGAACCAGGCCTGAACTGCCCCCTGAGAAACAGAGCTAGCCCTGGTGTCAAGTGCTTGGTTAGAGTGGGGACTGAGGCTAGGCTTACCAGCAGGTGTCTCACAAAGGTGTGACTAATATCGTGTCCCTCGTAAAACAGGAAAGGAGGTCCCAGTGACATTGGGGTGGCTGGAAATTGGTAACAGCTTCTCAATTTCCCAGAAAGTCCCCCAGAGTGCCAAATTGAATTCAGGATTTTTTCGTTTCTGTGGAACATCCTTGTGACCCAAGGAGTTGGCTTGTGGAGGCTTGGATCGTACATCACTCCCTGTAACCAAAATCATTAGGGTTGAAACAATTGCATTCTGAGAGAAGCCTAGTGATGAAATTACACATGTACACCCATCGTGGTGTGGTTATGGGGACCACACACGTGTATTGTGACAGATATTGCAGATATTGACCCAAAATGCTGGGGCACACACCAAAGTTCCCTAATCTGGTTCAAATTTTCTCTAACAATAAAAAAATATCCCCACAGAGCAGTGCCAACCAAGGCACAGAGAGTTCAGAAAGACGTTGATATATAGCTATACATAGATTTAAAGCTCTTGGACTTTGATGATGTGGTACGTCAGGTTTGAATTGGGAGAGGTTTGTACAGAAGAAACAGCCCAAATATAGAGTAGTGCGGTTGTCAACACTTTTTTTTGTAACTAATTTTGGAGTGATCAGATTATTAATAATGCCGTTATTCTATTGAGTGGTAATTCTTATTTTTTAAGAGACATTTCATCTCAGAAATTGATGACTTTTTGTGATTTCATTGTGACAGGTTGCCTCTCTTCAATTCACTTTTTAACTTGCTTGGTAAACACCTGTGTTTATGAGGTGCTATAATGTGAAAGTATTAACATTTTGGACTACTTGCCAAGATGTACTTGAAATACTTGAAATACTGTGTCAAATCTGTCTCATCTTTTAAACAGCTTGTTGTTAGTACTGTAGCTCAAAGTCAGCCTCGGGTACAAATAATCTTTCTTCCTCAGCTTATAAAAGAATGTACATGTAGTTAATCCTGTGATGTTGTTCTTTTTCGTTTCATGGTTGCAGGGCATCATTGGAAAAAAAAAATGACAGACCAAGGATTCAGTTCCCAGCCGGTTGGGGCAGTTGAAGTAGCGCATGATAGCAAGAACTACGGGGCACCAGACCTCATGCTGAATGGGTGAGTATCTCGTCCATCCGTCTTGTCCTTACACCTCCGTTTTACATGTAATTGTGTTGCACTTACATCTTTTGGTGTTTTTCTAAGGCCTACTGGTAGCTTCATCTGTTACTTGGCTGCGGCTTGAGGCATAGTACTCTGAGTAATGGCTGTAGCCACTGTCATAGACTCGTGTAATTTCAGACCACATCCCAGTGATGCAGACATGGCCTTAGTGTTTTTAGGTGAAAATCGGGCAAAGCCAGTGACGAACATGAAAATAAGATTTGAAAACCTGTATGGTTAATGAAGCTACCAAAAAGCCTACCTGGAAATTAGAATGTCATCCTACTTGAATGTCATCATGGCCGCGCAAGGCATCTTGCCTCTCATGCACTGTAAGGAAAGCATTTATAATGGTCTGCATTGAAGTAAATTGTGTTGTCTCAGATATTCAGTCCTTAATACATGTACATGTAGGTGTATCCTGTGTGAGAGTTTTGCTTAGTAGTTGCCAATGATTTCCTGAAAATTTATACTTGCATTGATTATTACTAAAACTAAAGTAAAAATCCATGTATCTCTCAAGTCGAGTGCACCATGCTTCAGTTTAATAAAAAAAAAATTCAAATTTTGCTGTCTCCCGAGAATCAAATTTGACCTATTTTGCTATAGCATTTTCCCTCAAGAAAATTTCTCTTCAAATTGCCTTTGCATATCTCGTTCTCTTATCTGAGCTGACTTTGTCATCTGTTTTATGTGCTGGAGGCGTTTTGGGAGTTGGCTGGGAGACGGAAGTTTTTGCAAGGCCTTCCTGGATGACGGGGAGACCAGGGAGATGTACCACGTTACACTTTCCAAAATTAGCTCCCATGTTTCAATCACTAGCTTGTGTAAAAAAAGTCTATGAATATCCTGTTCGCTACTGCTGATGAATAGGTAACATACGTAAAAGAAAAAGAACAAAGAATTTGGTCAGTTGTCTTAGATTGTAGTTGTGGTCCTAGTTCTAGTTTGTGTCTCTTGCTGATCGTCACAGTGCCTTTGGCGTTCTTGTCTCTCAGTACTTTTTTTTTTATTATTTATTTTTTGTGTACTGTGCGTGTATTCCATCGTCTTTACTGCACATGAAGTTTCCTTGAAGATTGATTTGGTACATGTAGTGGCTTTGTGGCATGTGACATACAAACGCACTAGTACGTTATTCCGCGTTCCACTGGCATTTGTGTGATAACTAATATTGGGATCGGGCATGCAACTAGTCAGCTGCAGGAATATTGGAAAGTTACATGGATGTATGGGCCCTGAGCTGAACCGAGAGAGGGCGCAAATTCTCAACAAAAACACAATCCAAGACGCACGCATATTTCAGCCAATCAAAATTCAGCACTTAAATGACGCCACAGCGATTTGGAATTATGTTTATTGTCTTTCTCGGGTCATAAAACCCCCAATACGTTCACATTAGCACAAATAAATACGCAAAACAATTTTGGCGCAGTTTGACTTTGAGCTGGCCCACTGTGGGGTGCTTCTGCTCAGGACAAATTACTTGCGTGTAGTTTCAAATCTAAATTTGGAAACATAATGAGTTATTTTTTTTTTCACCTGGCAAGTAGATAAATGAAAAGAAAATGTTGTTATCACGTTGACTCAGAATTCTAATTCATATGGACACAACCTGATCTGGCAATGGGCGTAGGAGTTAACATGCAAATTATGGTCTCTTAAGGTGCCACTTTGAGTCACCGGTACCCATCAATGTTGGCACGCACACACCACACGCATGCACAGATTTACACATCCTGACCTGTCTTGTGTCAGTGGCAGGGCGGGGGTTCTTGAGGGGCCATGTCCTAGGAACAGGTGTTTTTAGGTTTGGGGGTCTTGGCTCATTCCTCCTATTCACAATATTTGTCAAAGAACTGACTATAGGCCTACACAAACTGTTACAGAAACTGTAAAACTTTGGCAGTTGTGCACAGAGCTCCCATACCATGCAGCCCTTGCTTACATGCACGGACCCTCTACTGAGTTACGGGTCCGTGATACATGTAACTTTTAGGACTGCATGCTTACTGCCAAGTTCCTTTTAAAGCTTTAAAGCCTGTTAAAGCCAGTTGCAGTCGGTGTGTTCCTTCCAATTTTGGCTCTTCATTGAGTAGAACTGAAAACCTTGAGTTAATGCAGGATGCCAAATCAACCTGAGGTTTTAGGGTACCATACTTTTGATATATAACAGTTAAATGTAAGAGTTCACAATTTGACCTGTGTAAATTCACTGATTTTGTCATTAAGCTAGAGAAAATTCATGATATACATGTATTTGTCAAGATCTCACAGATTCATTCTCACGTACCAGCATATATCAAAATGACACCAGTTTTATAGAATGCATGTCGCGGTGAATATTGAGTGAGTTTAAATTGACATTTTGGTATTTGAAAGCCATGCAACGAGTATGTCTCTAGCTGGAGATGGGCTTTTCATTTTTTGTTTGTTTTCAATTTACAATTCCAGATCATTTTAGAAGTAATACATGTAAGTATTGCTACACATATTTTCTAGTTAGCATGTTTTTTTTCCCCATTCAAGTAACACTCTTGTAGGCTTTTTTGAGAGGTTGGTGTGGATTCTTCAAGCAGCATTTACAAAACATAAAACATAAAAATATCTCTGCAGTGAAACAAGCCTGTAAAGTTTACCTCAAGCCATCCAAGACCACGATGATGTACATGTGGGTATGGTAGGGTAGTACTGTATCTAAGTGAGGAGTTGTGTTTTTAAGAGGAGTTCAAAGGAATCCCTTGGCCCCTCCGCCCCCCCACTTGTCCTCGGATGAAGACATAAGATTCATTTGTGTCTTCTGATCATTTTTCTTGTAATTCTTTTAGATGCGGGTGTATGCTTGTCATTTTTTTTCATCTACATTGCTTGCTTGCACAAACCTGGATTATATATTTAGTCAGGTAAATATATAATCCAGGCTTATGCAAGCAAAAATTAATCTACATGTATTTCCTTCACTGACTCTATAAAAGAAATTTAGCTCATGTTCCAATGTTTTGTTCACACACCTTTGTGAACAACAACTTTTAATAAAAAGCCAAAGGAAGAAGGAAAAAAGTCAATGTTATTTATGCATTACCTGAAGAGACACAGCTCAAAGTTCACATTCAGGACTTGTGGACGCTGTCATTTTTTTAAGCTCTCATGTCATAATTCTGACAAGGAACTGAATTTGATGGAAGGGAACGGAAGTTGGAAATAGAATACATGTACCTTGATTTAAGCCAGCAGGTGACAAGCTCGCATCTCATCTCAGTAAATTATATCTTATTTGGAACACAAAACAATTATTGTGCTTTGAGAACTGAGAAACTGGGAACCCCACCCTGTTTTCTCATCACTGGGCTTTAGCAAAATGTGAAAACTGCGAAGGGGAGGGAGAGGGAAGATGGCTTTTCTTTTTGAAAATAAGTTTGATGCACGTGTGGGAGTTTTCATAGCATATGCCAGGGTTCAGCCCAGCCCGAGGTACATCCTGAGTTGGCTTGCGTCCAGAAAAATGTGGATGGAGTTGCATGGTATACTTTCAGAATCCATAATTTTGATCACCAGTATGACAGAGACCTGTTCTGGAGGCGCTGAGTGTCGAATTTCCTTGGAAGGGGAGCTGGGGCACGCTGGCCTTGCCGTCTGCTCTCTGGTGTCAGTTGGGAGTGGGACCAGGTTCAAGGGGTCTTACTTCCTGAGTGCTGCTTTGTGATCGATGATTGCACCTCAAGATTTTGACGGAAAGTTTTTTCTTTAGGAATATCTTTTTGATTTAGTCAGCAAGCAGCAGAACACTTGTACAGGAAATCAGGGGTGCACATTGGGGATATGACATGATGTGTGGTGTCTCAGTAAATATAGTTTGATGCTGTCAAGTCAATGGATATCCATTGTGTTGTAACATGTGTGGTACATGTACATGTACATGCAGGCATGGATTCAAAGAGATACATGGTAATTCCAGAAATTAGGGGTCCATTTTGTTTCGTGTCTCTGTCACATCTGACATATGATTTTGTATGAGTTCAGAACACATTTTTTAATTTCCAAGAGTGATGAATTAATGCAAGTTACCTGCCAAACAAATAGTAATAGTTTGAAATCAATTCGAGTGATATTTCCTTGTCAAATAACAAAGGTCAGATGCAACAGGGACACAAAAATGTCACACTTTTGGACCCCTAATTCCTGGAATTACCCATATTCAAATGAGTGTTCAAAATCAATGATTTACTGATGTCCAAAGTCTTGATAATGCTGCACAGGTGTCTTGGTGGAGTTGCCTTTGTATTTATAATTGCCCCGCAAGCATGGTCTCATCTTGTACGCCCTCATTTACAGCATCCAACAAGTGGTGAAACCGAGCAGTTGACCACAAGTGAATTTTCATGAGACTCGAATTTGGCACTGTCTCTCTATAAGAACCTACCGGTAGTAGATGTTTTGTTCTTGAATGCAATGGTTTCCAGCACTCCCTGGGCCTGACCGACTGAGCCAGTCTCCGAGGCAGCACCCGTGACTCGGTCATTGCCCGAACGCCCATCCTCATCTCCTGGTGCAGATGGGATTCCCATAGAGAGCACCGCTTTTACCTTTCATTTGGCCCTTTCTTAACAACCTATTTCTAACCCTCCCCCTTCTTTCAGCTTTAGTGGCAAGAATCTGTTGATCTGGGGGATTAGCTGCTACTCCAGACATGGTCCTGGAGGATTTAGTGTCTGAACTGCTGACCCCTTTCCCCTGCTCTGATGATGTTTTTCTCCTGTTGCAATCTGTGTTTGAGGGGACTTCTCATTCTTGAAAAATAACCATGTCAAGGACACCATTATTTACTTCTGTTGGTTCTTACTATCTCTAAGAGCAAAATTGACCAACTTTGAAGAGGTACTTCAACTTTCAAATAGATAAAATTCATTTGAAGTAGACACGTGGAATGAAGCAGCACAGCTTTAGGCCCATGAATT